CACTGCGAATCTTTAAATGCAGGTCGTTCAAAGGATGTTTCCAGGAAAGGTCATATCGAAAAATTGTGACATCAATTATCCTCCCAGAAGTCCCGAGTTAACTGTCATGATTTTTTTTTGTGGGGGATCCTGAAATCAGTGGTGTACACTGAAATTCCTGCTAATCTGAATCAGTTGAAGCAAAGAATTCGAGATGAAATTCGAGCAATTGCACAACAACTCTGTGTCCACGTGTTTGCCAACTTCAGAGAACGTTTGGAGGAGACGGTGCAAGTGGGAGGACAGCATCTTGACGGCATGATTTTTCACAAATGAATTTCCATATTTTATAGTTAATTTTATGAATAAAAAATGCTTACCAATTTTGAACTGAATGAGCTATGATTTTTTTTTTCAAATAGTAAAAACCTTTTCAGACACCCTGTATAATAATAATATTATAATACATATGAAAGTGATAATCATTGATATACCTCGGGAAGTAGCATTGCTAGGAAATTTTTCAACACTGCTAGTAAGTGATGAGAGGTGGAAGTAAATATACAGGGTGTCGGGTAAACCATCAGTGACGGCTCGTGCCCTCAGAACCTGGGTCGGCCAGGGTATAGATATTGCTCTAGTTCGTCAACTTAATTTTTTGGATTAAAATGAAAGAGAGAAATGCGAACGTAACACGTTGGGTGAGCGGCTTAAATGAAGTTCGATGGCAAATAAGCATGTACACATAACCAAAAAATTAAATTGTCCAGCAAGAACCACGAGGAGGTTAGAGCATTCTCGCCAGGGGAAATGGGGAAAGGAAAAGGAGGTGGATAAGGGTTAGTTGGTATGAAAAAATAATAACAAAAAAGTCGAAAAAATAAAATAAAATAAAATAAAAATAAAATGACTCTCGAAAAAAAATATTTATATTCTGTTGAAAACGTAACGTAAACTCAAAAAAATCAACATAACTCTTAAACAAAAAATATATATTCTGTTGAAAACGTAACGAAAACTGAAAAATTGTATTCTGCATTCAAGTTTAAATATTTATTCCTTTTTGAACATTAAATCAATTCTACGCGGTTTACTTAGAGCGAAATCGTCAATAATATTGTCATAAAAACTATCATCTTTCATCAAATCTTTAATCAGTCCTCGTTCTATGGCTAAAATCGATAAATTATTTAGACGCGATTGAGAGACCGTATTTCGACTATACGATTTGATTCGTTTTAATGTTGAGAAGCTTCTTTCCACGGACGCTGATGTTGGTGGAAGAGACAATATCAAGCAAAATAATTTATACAATTCCGGAACATCCATCTGTATTTCATTTTTATAAATAAATTCTGTCATATCACCTATCTTTTGAGAACCACCAAAAATCGTTTTATCCGAATATAATATCTGTAATTCCCGTTTCAATTTTTCATCATTGAAGAATCCCTGGTAGTTACGAATTAAAGAGTTGAATTGAATATCTGGAAAATTGTGGTTGAAAGCATCAAATTTAGAAAAATTTGTCAATTCTAAAAAGTTGAGAGATGAAATGTCCTTGAATCTTATTTCAATTTGGTTAATGATTAAATCCAAAATTTCTAGAAATAATCTTTTCATAGTCGATGAATTGTCGCTCAAATCTGAAATTTTACGCCGTTTAGTACTGGGAGGAAGAATATCCGGAATATCTCTAGCTTTCGAATATATATTTGTAAAATAACTTTCGTCAGTTCTGAATTGTTTCAAAGTATTTAAAAGTGACATAATTCTTTCATTGCAGTAAGTAATATCCGATAATCTATTTTGAATGATAGCAAACACTGGGTCGGTATAAGTGAAAATTAAATTAAAAGTGAGAAGTAAGAACACGAATTCAAAATCTGTTAATAATTTTTTAAGTCCGGTCGATTCCCGTATTGAAATGTCATCCCACTGGTCTAAATGTTCAATTATGTAGTCGAAAACTTCAATTAAATTCGTTCTATTATCGCTCAGAATATTTACTGCCCGTGATTTGAAGTTCCAACGTGTTTCTGAATTACTTGGTAGTCGTTTTTTACAAATCCTATCAAGAAGATTAGTACGTTTAGTTGATTTTGTGAAAAAAGCCGAAAATCCCGATAAGTTAGAGAAGAATATTCTACATTCTTTAATTTTTTTAGATGAATCTTGAAGTACGAGATTCAATTTATGCGCATAACAATGTGTAAATAGTGCTTGAGGAGCAATTGATTTAATTTTTCTTTGTAATCCATTCAGTTCCCCTGCCATTACCGCTGCACCATCATAGGTTTGACCGATTAATTTAGTTTCTATATTGAATTGTCCAAAATTTTGCGTCAATACGTTGAAAATATCACTTGCAGTTTTACCCTCGCTAACATTTAAAAAACCAAGAAAACGTTCCATAACTTTTCCTTTGAGAACGAAACGAAAAATTACAGACATCTGGCAGAAACAGGAAATATCCGTAGTCTCGTCAATTTCCCAGGAAAAGCACGATGCTTCATTGATTTCTGTGTGAATTTTTTTCATTACAATTTTTTTAACTGAATCAATCAATTCATTTTGGATGGTTTTAGATAGTCCGGTAAAAACGGATGATTGCGATGGATCTATGAATTTATTGAAACTCTCATCTAAGGTTGCCCCAAATTTTGCCAATTCTTTAAAATTTCCCTGATTGTCAGACCCTACTGTTTCATCGTTACCCCGAAATGCCAGTTCCTGCGTGGACAGAAAAATAATCATATTTATCAAATGCTCAATCATTTTGCGATTTTCGCGAACCGATTCATTGTATTTATTGATGAATTCTCGACGCGCACTGTCCAACGCATTTACAATGTTCTGTTTCCCGAATAATTTAAACTTCAACGCCGAATGTGTATTCTATGTTCCTTCGAAATTTCATGTTTAGCAAGAGCGCGATGGATTTCTTTCAAATTGTCATAACCGGTCGAGTTGAAAGGACTTTTAATTTCCGTGAAAAGTATGCAATACCAACAAAATAATTTATTATTAGTCTCACTGCCAGTTAGCCAAACGTATTTGTCGTAGAGCGTTTTCGAAAATGCGCGATTATGACCAGCTTTTCTTTGAACAAGGTTAACCATCGGTGGTCTAGGAATCTGCAACTGTTTGATTAAAACCTTATCATCGTAGGACAAACTGGCGAATTTATGGGATAATAAATGGCTTACCAAATCACCGTTGTTAGTAACTACCTCTCTTACGTTAGCCATGCCTATTTTTATATTTTCTGCTCAATCTGAAGCCCGAATAATCAATATTTTCAACCGACAACCACCTCACCTACCTAACGCGAAAAGCACAACAATGACTAATCTGTCTACGCTACGCCGTTCCTGTAACAAGCCACCCCACTGACCCCACTCCTTCGTAGTCGGCTGGCCGAGCCCGCGTGCAGGGTGTAGCCGTAGGTATAATGTTTCCCGCGATGCGATGGATGCATAAATATTATTTAGGTAGTTATAACCGCTACATGCGTCTTTGAAAATAAATGATATTCTGGAAGTTATACATTTATTATTTATTACATTTTCGTCACCAGAGCTTTTTGACGATGTTTCAATACCTACTCAGCTCTTGGACTACTGACATTTTTCTTGCCATATTACCTACATTCCTACATAGGCAGAGGCACAGTAGGTTACATTACAATATTCAAATTGAATTATAACTTATTGACGCTCAGAAGCACTGAAGGAAAATGCTGATTCCAATATTAGATGGATAATTATGTTGAATTATGAATTACTGCAAAATTGCAAATTCAAAAATCACCAGTCATTTTTACTGCAACTACTGCAAGGGTAAACAAAAACATGGAAATTATTTTTCTTTTCAGTTTGTACATTTCAAATTCCAACATCAACTTACAAATAAGTATAGGAATTAAAATTATAAATACCTACAATGTAAAATGAAAATAGAATGTCAATCATGCCAATCCGTATATTAAAAATTAGGTCGGAATGGTTCGATACGGTGCACGGCGAGCGCACTGCAAACAACTGATACTGATAAGTACGATCGATACGTTGGACGGCCAGCAGAGCTTGGCCGCACCCAAGGTATGACGCGTATATGCGAAAATTTAAACTTGAAGCGGGGAATCTGTAGGCGATGCATGTGGCGATGCGTCGAGACAAGAAATCACCGATCGGCCGGCCGTCTGCATCAGTGTAATGAGCTACGCGAGCGGTTCAACTGAAAGCGGCGTTTTGACGATGGGATTACCAGATGCCGTAGGTCTTGAATTAGTTCGTGATTTTCAGAGTATATGCGGATGGCATACTCAAAGGTTCCATGAATGAAATTCAAATAATAGTGGCATACCAGTAGGATAATGAGCGATGAATTATGAAAACAGTTTCGGAAAATAATTTTATTTATCAAATAGTTCAGTAATTTTCCCCAAATTATTTGGTACGGCCCGGCCGACCCTGCCGTCCCTGACGAGCCGTCACTGTAAACCATGGATCATATTGTAGCAGGTGATGAACAAGTTCATAATATCCTATTAGAAAACGGCAACCTGATCTCAGTAGAAACCTCTCGGTTTCCGGGATATTGGAACTTTAATCAAAAAAGAATTCCTATCATGGTTCCAAGCTAATAGGGAGCGTTTTATTTTAATTCTTATTTTTGATAAATATTACTGAATAATAGTTGTAACAATTACAAAAGGCAGTTTTTCGATAGCAGCCATTTACTGTATCCAAAAAATTATCCTCCCACGCGAATCCTTCATGATTTTTATCATGCAGTTTGAGAAGTGGGGTTGCAATGTACCTATATATTCTGTGCATATTTCAGACGTTCTCGAGAAACAGAATACGACATTAAGATATTTTGAAAACGATTATTAATGAAATTTCATTTCCTTAGTGCGAATAAATAAATATAGACAGCTCGGCCTCCAACCTCACCTGTTTCATCTGCTTCAAGCTTTCCAAATTACCTGCCCATAACTCATTAAATCAATTCATAAAGCAATAACAATATATTCACTATAAAAAATGTAAAACAATAAGTACATTTTAAAAATAAACATTTCAAAAAATTAACGAACTCTTTAACCAAACTCGAAGCATAGGTATTTTGTCACTATCACAGGGCCAATAAAACGCCTATAAAAAACCTTTGAATATACAAAACAGATATAAAAATTGGAATATTAGATTTTGTATCACCCTATAAATCAAACAGACGTCTTCTTCTTTAGGCCCTGCAAATGATTGTTATTGTTATAGATGATTGACATCTTTGCAATAGGAATTTTCGGCCGAATATTCTTTGTCAGTGGCACGAATCATGTAACCCAAAACGACACCTAACAAGATGACCAAAAGTATTGTAGCTAATTGGTAATACTGCAATGTTTTGACAGACTTTTGGAGGTCATGTTGGCAATTGTCTAACTTGGATAAAGCAGCAGATAGCTTGTTGAAGCTGTTTGGGTCAGCATCTTGGGAAGAAGTTGTGCGTTGTGGATTGATGCTACCATTATTAGTGACCTCGCCGCCGCTCTGGATGCATTTTAGGCGATGTTGGTTTACTTTTCTATTTGATTGGTTCTGAAAAAAAAACAGCAACATTTATATACTCAAAATAATAATCGAAATAACAATGTCTCAAATAAAAAACCCATAACAAATGATTATCATAAACTACAGTAGAGATACTGCAACTTATATAATTTCCAGCAATGATCATATCATTTTATAAAAAACGAATGTTCACACACTGACATCATAATCAGCTGACGGAGATTCTCTCACTCCCTTACCAGCTGACAATATATTTTCTTATGCATTTCATGAGAACTATAACAAATTTAAATGTATGACTAATATTAGCAGAATCAGATTTCATCAATCTAATATGATTTACCTTCCATAATTCAGACAAATCCAAATTACTCAGTTCACTTGCTTCCAATGGAGTACTCATCACAAGGAATTTGTCTCGTGATAAACCACCTAGCTGGAATCCCACCAATAACGTCACAGTAACAATGGCTGACTCTCCAGGTGCCAAACATCCTGTGCTTGGTTTCACTCTGAATTTTTCTGGTGATGTGGTTTTCAGCTGAAAAATATATTCCTAATTAATTAATAAGTACATCAATGTTTATGTACTGCTTATTCAATACTGAAAGGTGAAAATAAATATTTCACTAAATTATTCAATGGATTCTTTCACGAATTACCTTGATTATTTTTCTCATTCTAGCCAATCATTCGGTATTATACTGATAAAACTGCATGATCCTCGAATTAACATTTACATTGAACTGTCAACATTAATCTGACTTACCAGTGTCCGCCATCTTGTTTATTTCGACCTATCTCATGTGTAAGTAACAATAAAATCAATTATCAATTCTCCGAGAAATCAAAACGTAACGTCCAACTTGATAAAACTAATGTTTCATGTCTTTCGAAAATTATAAATACAACTCGTCCTTCAAATTTTATCCGATAATTTTCTATTTTCATCACTCAAACTTTTTTATTTGAGGAAAAATCTTTAAAACAAACTGACTCGTGATTTTATCAATCGCTTTCTTTTCGTATTTTTTCCAAATAAAACAGTTTTCGTAGAAAATTAGAAAAATTATGATACTATTTGAAGGACTCGTGGTATTACCTTCGGTAACTAAACTTTGACAACACGAACATTAATTTAAAAAAAATAACATTCATAACAAGTGTTCGAAACTATAACCATTATTTCCTAAACAAAGATATTCTCTTCTTACAATTGCTTCAAAGACATCTCTAAGCATTTCTGGGGTAAGAATACTATTGAATACTTCGATAACAATGTCTCTTAGTCTTCTTCATTATCAAAATTATTTGCGTCAACAAAGTTTTTAACGTATTCCCAGGGACTGTAGAATGAGTTCAGTTATCTAGGTAATTCGTGTAAAAATCCAACAATTTGAAGCGCTGCATTGAATAATTTATGAATTATATTTTTTTTTACTTTTCAGTATTAAATAGCTACCTCATCAATGTTTGACACTGATGATGAGAAATAAGTTGAACTGATGGTATTTCCTCTTGGAATTTCGAAAAAACATTGAAGATGGCTAAAACTAGGTGGAAACACATTCAAACCACTTTTTAGTATCACATGGTTGAATTAGAAATGAAAAAAGCTATCAAAATCTGTGAACACATAATAAGGACCGTATTAAAAAAAAGTTGATGATGGTTCTACGAATACGAAACGTCGCGTAAGTTTATGTGAAAAAGTATTTTTAGTTTTTCTGTGTCTAATAATAACGTATAAAAAGAGAGATTTTCCAAAAATTCACTCTTTTCTATATAACTGAAATACTACACTTACCGGCAAAAAAACATTTAGCGAAATTGTTCGCCCGGTAACTTTTTTAATTTTTGTGCGATTTTGGTGGAATTCCAACCAAATCGTATATTCATGTTTCGGAATGTTAGCCTGATGAAACTCTCAAATACATACAGGGACTCTAAACGTGACTATGTCTTTAGAGAAGCTGATGGCTTGATCATTATACAGGAAAAAACAAAAGTTACTCTTTCACTCCTAACTTCTTAACGCCCTGTGGCAAAGGAGAGTGGTTAAACTTAGCTTCATTATGTTTTGGATTGAAGTGTGATCCCTTCTTGACAGATGAAGGATTTTGAAAAAGTATGGATTCTTTAAATTTTTATCAACAATAATTCAAAACTAATCTTCAACCTTTTGCTTCATCATGTTTTGAATTGAAGTGTGATATCTTTTTCCATCCTTTCTCGACACAATGGTTCTAGATTCACGTCAATATCTTCTTTTTATGAGGAGATACAAGTGTTTTAAGGAAGTATGGAATATTTTCATTTTCATCAATAATATTTCAGAACCTATAGATAGAGCACCTTAAGGTGGGATTTCCTAGCGACGTCCAGCGTTCGCGGCCCGCCGCTACGTCTGGCAGTTAAAGACACGTATAATGCATTTGTATACAACCGTTTTCCTAGAAGCGGCGCGACTCGACGTCCCAACGTCCAGCCGTCAGCGGCTGCGTCTCGACTGCTCAAAAACATGTCTGGACGCGAACGTAGACTCCAGACGTTACTGAATTCGAAGCAGAGTGGTTGAATATTATTATTAGAAAATGTCTCGAAAATTTACACATGACGACGATTAATTATTAATCGATCAATTTCGTGAATTTGCATGTATCTAGGACCATGCAAACGAAGATTGTACAGATCATCAAATTCGGGAAAATGTATGAAACCGAATTGCCACAGTTTTTTCCAAGGGTGGTGAATGTTTCAAGATTTTGGAGAGTAGTTTCGAGATCCATACAGTTCACTTGTCTCTCCGAGCAACGATAATAAAAACATCATGTCATCATCATCCTCTGCTTCTAATGACATTAACGCTAATGAAATATTTCTATTCATCCTGACAACCAGCAATTTTTTATTAAAACGCAGTCAACTCTGAACAAAAAACACTCTTGCCATGGCAGGTATATGTTTAACCTGGTCTCACAACTACCAAAACGCGGACGCTAGACGGTTCAAGCAAGTCATGAAATTGCCACTGCCAGTCGTTACTGCTGGACGCCGCGGTGAGCCGCGAACGCTGGACGTCGCTAGGAAATCCCACCTAGGGATGAAGTCTGAAGAAGAGGCTCATTCGCCTTCGTCCGGCCTTGCCAGAGACTCTTCGAGAGCCACGATTTGCCCTTCAAGGAGAATTTTAGGCAATTCTCCAAGTCTACTTGAGAAATTTGTTCAACTCGATGCCACGGCATTTAATGCTGTAATTCAAACTCGAGGAGGACATAACGAGTATGCCCTTATTGACTACAGATCTGCTTTTTGTTCATTTTTTTTGTAATTGAGGTTTATTCCGGTGAGTGTTAAGAAAATGAGGTAGAAATAAGTGATAATAATTCTATAAGTTGTTAATCAATAAGTTTATGTAGGTTCTGATTATTGTTAATGAAAAATGCCATACTTTCTCAAGAAAATCGTATCTTCTCTTTAAAATACGATACGTGGATCAAAAACTATTGTGTTGAGAAGGGATAACAGTTCAATCCAAAGCCTAATGAAACCAAGTTCAACCTCTCAATTTCAATCTTTTTTGTACATACATAATAATTAAATAAAATGGCATCAACAAATACGAAATGTGGTGTATTCAAATCTGTAAAAAATTTCAAAATTATATCTTGTACAGGGTATCCCACATAACATGGGCCACCCCCTTATCTGGTAAACTATTATATATACAGAAAAAAGTTCAGAATAAAAGTTGTATTACTTCTCATGAAATTTATTTTTTAGATACTTTCATTTATACAGGATGGTCCATATGTCTGTGACTTATCACACATACGTTTTTTCAAATAGAATACCCTATATTTTATCATATTTTTAGATAGTACTTAAGAAGACGAGTTCAATGATATATAATAACATGGGTCTGAGATCACCCGTTTCGGATTTATACACGATCTTCTTCAATAAATTGCCAAATTTCGAAGCCCTATAGAAACATTGCGAATGAAGTTTTCGATTCGCAGTTTCCGCTATAAATCAACAAAGTCTGTATATTATTCTGTTCTATTGTGAAGATTTAGGAATTCTCAATTTGCCAAAAGTGATATCTCGAGATTTTCAAATGGAACACCCTATATATTCCATTCCAAATTTGCATAGAGCTCAGGAAGACGAGTTCAATGATATATCATAACATGTGTCTGATATCACCCGTTTCGGACTTATACACGATCTTCTTCAATAAATTGCCCAATTTCAAAGCCATATAGAAACGTTGTGAATGAAGTTTTCGATTCGCAGTTCCCGCTATAAATTAACAAATTTTGTATGTTTTCTTGATCCATGGTAAAAGTTTATGAATTTCGCATTGGCCAAAAGTGATGATGTATTTTGAAAAACGATAATTTTTTACAAATTTTCGAATGGAACACCACCCTATTTCATTCCATCTTTGGATGAGGCTCAGAATGACGAGTTCAATGTTATATTATAATATGAGTCTGAGATCACCCGTTTCGGACTTATACACGATCTTCTTGAAAAAAATAATCAAATTTCAATGGCAAAATTCTGACTGTCATCTTCATATTAGATAAAAATGTTGTAATTTCTGTGAAACAATTCGTAATAAAGAGTTTTGAAATAAACGAATATTATCGAAATTTTTATATTTATTTATATTTCACTGGAAAACATTTCGGAAATGATTGAGCACAGGTTATTACAATTAAATTTCACCTAAATTTGACTCTATACGAGACCAATGCGGGAATATTCAATTAATAAAATGTATTTGAACATTTTTTTTTATTGTCTGCCTTATCAATTCGGATGCATTCATTGCAATAAATGTCATTTCCTCATAAAAATCGTATATCTTTCATACTGTTCAACATTTTTCATTGAATTCTCAATGAATAAACACTGGACATAAGTAAATGATCGAGGAGAAAACCAAAACTCAAAGTGGAATGACATGCCAACGTGAGCTGAGTAGGCTGTGCACTCATAGATGGGATTTTTGTTTATGTCATATCAATAACTGTCGAACCCGATTATTTATTGTTGAATTGGTGCAGAGAAACTCTTTCGAAATGCATATTTATTCTAAAAAAGAGAGATTTGACCTTTATGAGTGCTATTTATTAAAAAACAGAAATACTGTGCTGGCTTTGAGAGAATATCATATCGTATATAGCGTTTTCCACAAAGTGTCGTACCAAACAAAAAAATATTTCAGAGAATAGCGAACGATATCCGAACAAAAGGTATTCTCAAACCGAATAAGAGAACTAGAGGAAATGTAGTTTTGACCGAAGATCGTGTATAGGTCCGAAACGGGTGATCTCAGACCCATGTTATTATAGATCATTGAACTCGTCTTTCTGAGTTCTATGCAAATATGGAATAAAATATAGGGCGTTCCATTTGAAAATCTCGAGATAATTATTGGTTTTCAAAATACGTCATCACTTTTGGCAAATTCAAAATTCCTAAATTTTCACCACAGAACATGATAATATACAGACTTTTTTAATTTATAGCAAAAGTTGCGAATCGAAAACTTCATTCACAACGTTTCTATAGGGCTTTGAAATTAGACAATTTATTGAAGAAGATCGTGTATAAATCCGAAACGGGTGATCTCAGACTCATGTTATAATATATCATTGAACTCGTCTTCTGAAGGACTATCTAAAAATATGACAAAATATAGGGTGTTCCATTTGAAAAAACGTATTTGTGATATGTCACAGACATATGGATCATCCTGCATAAATGACAGTATCTAAAAATTAAATTTCATGAGAAGTTATACAATTTTTATTCTGAACTTTTTTCTGTATATATAATAGTTTACCAGATAAGGGGGTGGCCCAAGTTATGTGGGATACCCTGTACCACTCAGAAGATTTTGAACAGTCATACTATTCCCATGATAGTGATGACATAGAACTAAATGTTTCAACAAATAGGTATCTAGCAGAAATAAGAATTTTACCTTATATGACAAATGGGTATTCCCATCAGTATTCTGAAGTTCCAAAGTGCTGACGAGTTCGTTGCCATCTTTAACAAAAGTGATGATGCCAGATGGCGTCACTTTGAGAGAACTGCCATCTGAAAGAACATATTATAAATATCAAATATTTAATAAGTGAAAAAAGATTCGCTATCGGTTGGGAAAATGTATAGGTACAAATAATGTGAAATTACAATGGTTGACACTTTTTCCTGGAAATGATCCTAAAATATTTGATACGATGATATGAAGTTAACACCAACCCTTCAAGATGCGTGATAAGTATTTTTTCTTTAAGTTTGATTCATTATATCTGTATTGAAACGCGAATTCATTTTCGCAACTTTCATTTTCTTTTCAAAAATTAGCAGGGATGGAACTAGATATAAACTTACTACTTATTGGAAAATAATGGGCACATTACTTTTCACCCTTCCTGTCATCGAAATGTTGATAAGTTGAATTTTCGATTTTGAGTTTCCATTACGAAGTTCTATTTACCATTACCTATGCTTTTTCCGGTGAAACCCAGTTATAAAAATAGTATTACCATTGAACTGTATTTGGGTTGATCGAAATAACTATGCTTAATTTGAAATAGAAGGTATAACTAACGTGTGACTTATGGTTTATAACTTCTAGTACGCCAAATTCCGGCATACGGTCTATTCGAATTTCAAATAATTTTCAAGCAGCACATTTTTGCTTCATCATTAAGGAATAAGGCTAGTTCACGTTACAGTCAGGCCTAGTTAACTAATTTACATCACAACACACGAGTACAATCAATAAAGAAAAATCGTGAAAAACAGATATATGCATGACAAACTTTTATTATTCCTCATATTTTTCATTGTTAAATATGGAAAATTGCCAAAATATCATTATGATTCTTCTGTGGGTATTAGGTAGGTATTTCGCCTTCCAGGTTTTTAGGGTTTATCAAATCATTAATTTTTCTTTATGAAAATTATCTCAGCACGCGTTGCGCCCTACTATCGACATAAAATATCATTATTCACGAGTTGTACATATTGTGAATATTATACTCATGGTTTTTGCAGTATAATGCCATATTATATTCTCTAAGGAAATAATATATGGTATCATACTGCAATAACCAGAATATTACTTCCTCGCCGATAACGCAGCTCGGTTCATAAATATGCCTAGAAAATAATAACTATCAATTGCCTGGTGGTTCAATCTACTATTATTGAAAATATTGATCAAAAGGATTGGGCTAGATAATAGAGTACCCCAAATAGAAAAATCGATACAGTAGATATTCGCTCAGGCGTGTGCCTAAGAAAATTTCATGGGGGAGGAGTAATCACTCTTATATCGGACATATTATTTACGGAGGATTCATAATATTGTACCAGGCAAAACTAGACTAGAATTATACCTATATTGTGACATGTATGAAAACATCAACTAATTTTCCTGCAAAATTCTTCCTTTGAAATATTATAACTAGAAACGGAAATTTATAGATTTTATTTCTAGTTCCTTCTTTTTTCAATCTACTTTGCTTATCGAGATATTTCATATTTCCATGATATTTCTCGATTTGGATTTTCAAAACCTGCTCAAATGTCAATTAAAAAAAAATACTCTTACATCTTGAAATTTTTGGCGAAACTGCTATTTGCTTTCAGAGGCTACTTGTCCAAATGGCGACGATTGCTAATTTTCAATAATACTTTTTTTTTCAACAAATTCGTTATAAATTTTCAACATTGAAATATAATAATATAGTTACTTAATGATAATTGATAATGTGAAATTATAATGGTTGATATTTTTTCTTGGAAATAATTTGAACTTTGAAATTCAAAAATGGAATTATCTTTTTTTTAATTCAGGCTACCCTGATCGCGAATATTGAATTCTTGTGCTATGACTGGAAGATTTGAAGACATACATAACTTATCGATGTTTTCTTCGTATGAATTTTTCAAGTTCAGCACAGTCGATTAATATTAAAAAATTTCGTCTGCAATATCTAGTCATGAGACCCCTCCCCCCTTAGGTACACGCCTGTAACCCCTTTTGAAAGATTGATTGCATGATGAATTTTAATTCATGAGTAACAGCTTTTCATGATATTTTTAGTAGGTAGTTTTCAAAATAATTTTAGAAATCAAGATGGACATGCTATGAGAAACAATCGATGAACCGGAATTCGGATATATAATTAATCAGGAAACAGCATACAATTAAAGAATTGAAATTAGAATTGAATCAAAATTGAAATGAATTATTTTCAACCATAAATTTTCTATAATAGCTTCTAGTGTCAACAATCCAAATATAGAAGTTATTGGATATCGGTCTATCGGTGATACCCTACACCAAATTTAGATATCATGTTTCTCATTTTCATTCTCATCACTTATACTATAGACTTTTCAACATCCACTTCATGCAGAAAGAATCAATTCATAAGATAACTACATGATTGCTAAGTCAAGCATTTGAGAAATTGTATTCTCTTCATGTTTAATCCTTCTCGACCAGTGACATAACCAACTAAGTATCAGATATTTGATTCTAACTAGATTTTGGGAATATAATTACAATTTTTACACTTACCAGATTCTTTTTCACCACTGCCTGCAGATATTTCTGACATTGATCCATCCATAAAGTGAACCTGCCACAATATTATCGATTACTATTAGTGCGTTCTGCTTTACTCTGCATCTTTGCTTCTGGCATACACAGCACGAAAAAGTTGGATCATCAGCAAGTATCACGGCGAAATAATATACTACTTGATAAAAGTTAGGGATGCTTGTTCAAGACGAGGGACAATATCTTGCCAAGAGTATATGTTAATCGGAAATATATGAAATACATTTATGATATAACAAATACTAAAATCTTCTGTAGTAGTCCATACTCAAAGTGGAGTGGAATGATCAAGAAAGAAAACTCAAAAGTCGTCTCCACAATTTTAATGTCAAAGGAGGCAGTCAATCCTGCTTCAATAAGGTTTGATGCATGTTTCGGCCATTTAAATGGCCATCTTCAGTCAAATTAGCAACAAAGTGTATGTGGAAAAATACTTCAAAACATCGTGAAGGCGAAAAACTTATTTTTATAACATAATTAATTATTCAATGGGAAATGAAGTTATGTCGGTGAAATTTGAGAGGAAGACAAAAAGCCAATCCCCCAAAAGGAAAGTTGAATTCTTCATGGGTAGCTGAAGAGCTTCTTCTTCATTTGACTGAAGATGGCCATTTGAATGACCGAAACATGTATCAAACCTTATTGAAGCAGGATTGACTGTCTCCTTCGACATTACAATTGTGGAGACGACTTTGAGTTTTCTTTCTTGAAATACTAAAATAATAGATATTCGTACATACAAGGCGGTCGATATCAGGAATAATTTGAGAAGTGAAAATGGACCAAATAGAAACTGTGAATACTGTCTGGAGGTTAATCGTGTAGGTGGTACATTCATTTTACTTGATTTTTTGGGATTTTCTCCTCGTTTCTATAAAATAAAAATATGCGTATTATTTCAATATATTTGTAGTGGGACAAATCAGATAATTTGCCCCAAAATGTCACTGCGTTCAACAAATTTTTCTATCATGGAGCATAAAAGAAAAATCTAGTAGCTTGTCAGTGACACTCTGTTTGAAAAAATGTATGAAGGAAATAAATATAGATATATTGAAAAATATCGAATTTTTACTTATCTTTGGACGTTTCGGGAACGAATCTGCTCCCGTTCCCATCATGAAAATGCAAAAGATTTTTTTATGGAAGTTGTGCTCTGCTTATAGTTTGACACAAATATATTGAAATAATACGCATATTCTTATTTTATAGAAATGAAGAGAAAATCCCAAAAAATCAAGAAAAAAGAAACTGTGAATATTGCATTTTCTAGAAAACGTACATATAACTTTTATGAAATACAGGGCGTCGAGGTAAAGTTATAATTTATATTTCTTCATTTCTACCATAAAAGTTTGTAAACCTAATTGAGAAGAGATATGAATCCTCTACATTCAAAACCCGACAAATCCATTGAGGTAAAATTGTGGAAAATTGAGAGAAACTGTTAGAATAGGTTACTATAATTTGAATGCATGAATATTTCGCGGGCATCTGAATAACATATTTATTAATTGAAATCGAAAATCGATAATGGTTTCAAAAACGCATGAATATTGGCAAAATATGAATAAACAAATCGGATTTGTCGGGTTTTTTAGCTCGCACGTTTGGATTTGTGGGGATTTGATTTTTGAAAATTTCAAAAGTATCTGATATTTATATTTTTATTTATTGAGACCACCAAGTCAGAAATATCCTCAACTACAACCTGCACCGAAATTAAATGGTTCAAGTAACAGACATACATGCATATCACAGTCCCGCGTGACATCCAAAGATAGCTGTGATTGGTTGATTCGGATTTGTCAGTGTTTGATTACAATGTTACTTGGAACTGAATATTTTAGATGCAAATAAAGATTGAATTTGGTTGGTATTGCTGTTTAGTTTTGATTTCAATTCGTAGAGGACCATAACAGGAATCCACTACTGTATCTAACTCAGTTTACACCAAAAATGGAGCTGTCGGGTTTTGAAACTATCTGATTCAATAATGATTGATTTAATCAAACTTTGTTTTGACACGATTCATTCTCACCAATGAAAATCAATTATATAGGGTGATAATTTTAAATAATAATTGGAACAGTAAAAGCAGGTATTTGGAAATAAAAACTCCGAAAATCTATTTACTCGATAGTTATATGTTGTTTTATTTTATCATGGACATCATGTATGTTGCATGTTGAATTCATTTACCATCTCGGATGAAGAACCATTGGAGAAAACAATAGATTTCAAGAAAGGAAGTCATTTGACTCAATAAACTATTTTCTTCTAATGATGTACAGGGTGGCTGGAATTCGAGGCTCATCATTGGGATGTGGTAAACCAATAGAGATACAGGGTCGATTAAATTATATCATGGCAAAGTTGCGCAATTTGATGCTGATCAAATTGCCTCAAAAGTTTGGAAATACACCGAATACATGATACTACGATATTTAAAAAAAAAACGAATATCCGCGATATCGTTTTTATTTTTTTATGACTTTATTTGCATTGCCACTTTTTCTGCTCTATCTGATGGCATTAATAGATTCGTGTTCCAACATTTCGTCTTCGAGGAGCTATCATCAACTTTATTTTTTTAAATGGTCGAAAAAAATTTTTTTGTTCCTAAAGAACTCTAATTCCAAATCTAAATCCAACGACATATAAAACTTTGCAATTATCTTACGTTCCAGACCAAAAAATCATTATCAGTGTTATTTGATGACGGTTACGAGGAAACGAAACGTCGAATCAAAAATCTGGCAACTTGTAGAAAAGGAAAAATGACTATGAAAATGTCAAATTCATTTTGGTCTATCTCTCATAGTGAAATCAGAAAAAGATCATTTCTTGGAATTATAAACATGGGAAATAAGTTTTTATTGAAAACTAAAATAGAGATAGACCGAGAGATATACCAAAATGAATTTGACATTTTCGCAGTCATTTTTCCTTCTCTACAAGACGCCGTCATCAGATTTTTGTTATGCTGTTCCATTTCCTCGTAACTATCATCAAATAATAAGATAATGATTGTTTGGTCCGAAACGTAGGATAATTGCCAAGGTCTCATATGTTGTTTGATTCAGAATTGAAATTAGAGTTCTTTAGTAACGAGAAATAGTTTTCGACCATTTAGAAAAACAAAGTTGATGATGGCTCCTCGAAGACGAAACGTCGGATCATGAATAATCTATCAATGTCATTGGATAGAGCAGAAAAAGTAGCAATGCTAATATAATATTCATTTTGACATATGACTCCAAATAAAGTCAGAAAAAAATAAAAGTGAAATCGCGGATATTTGATTTTTTTCAAATATCTTCGGTAGTATTCGGAATTTCCAAACTTTTGTGGCGGCAATTTGATCAGCATAAAATTGCGCAACTTTGCCATCATTTAACGGACCCTGTATCTCTTACAGTTTACGAGATCCCAATGATGAGTCTCGACTTCCAGCCACCCTGTACATGTAAAGTCATTACCATGTATTATGTTTGCATATAATAATCTCTGCATATTCCACATAAAGGGCGATGTTATCTTAAAAAACAAATACGGCGAGATATTTCCTAAATTTTGTTATCATGTTTACTCAGGTAACATCATCATATATTATGCCATAATGCCATATTTGCGCCTTAGATCATTCATGACTGTAGTTTCCAGCGTTTACGTTCTTCGCAATTTGATTGGCCCGTTAACTTGTCAACTGTCGCAGCAGCCAATAGCTTGCCTTGTTCAGAAAAATTAAAAACATGGAAGTTGGATTGCCAATCTATTCACAATCTATCACAGCAAATTTGTGTTTTCGAAATTTATACTGCACAGCTGTAGCCCAGTATCACCCAGTAGCGCTTTGTTGTCTTTTACCATGTGTTTGTTCATAGTTTATATGGTACGTTTGAATTTTCCTGTTCTTGAAACAAAACACTGTATCTGCAAAGCTGGTAGACCAACTCTTCTTTCCGAAAGTGTTCTTTATGATATTGAGAATCCTATAGTGGAAAGTCCTAATAAGTGTGTCTCAAAGTTGTAACATAAGAACAGTTAGGAAGGATTAGTAGTGCCTCCTTTCTCAGGTCTTTCTGTAGGAACTTGTCATAAGGCACTGAAGGAAAACATCGAAATGCATCCCTACAAGATTACTGCTGTACAAGAACTGAAACTACCTGATTTTGAAAGGAGGATCCGATTTTGTCATTGGTTTAATGTGCATTTGAATGATGACAATGTGCTGGATTCAGCTTTTTTCACTGATGAAGCCTGGTTCCATCAACAGTCAAAATGACCGTACTTTGGCTACAGAAAATCCTCATAATTTCAGAGAGTAAAGTCTACATCCTGTGAAAATTGGAGCTTGGATTGCAATTTGTAAAATAAAAATTATAGGACTAATTTATTTCAGGACACAGAGGATGCTGACAAATATCAAAATATTGTGAGAGAATTCCTTGAGCAAGTTCATGACGATGAACTTCGGTTTAGATATTTTTAACAGGATGGAGCTACAGCTCAGGCCATTTTAAACATCTCTTGTAAATATTGTAGTAGAGATGATCATTTTATATTATATTCGAATCTTACTTGAATCGTGTTTATTTAATTCAAGGATAAATAAAATAAATGCAGATCATTTTTGTTATAATAGTATTTGACTTGCATAATGATGAATTACCCCATATGACATTATACTGTGGAATAGAGCATGGTAAGCCATGACCACATATTCTTTGTCTATCATGTTAGTTAAATTTTTTAGGAGCAATACAATGCTCGCGAGTTTGGTAGATAGTTTGTCTATATATATTGACCAAGTTAATTTATTGTTCATATAAATTCCTAGATATTCAACAGAGCTATTCATAGATGTAATCATTGGATTTAAGCTGAAATTTAGTATCTTCGTTTTTTCTTCATTCAAACAGAGTTGAACTGAACTGAAATAATTCTTAGCTTGCTAAATCATTCCTTTCGATAATGTAGTCATGTCTGTGCCAGTTTTACATAGTGATGTTAAAGTTGGGTCACCGGCAAAGATCACTTCTTTGTGATCAATATGGTCCGATATGTTGTTCACATAGATAATAAATAAAATTGGCCCTAAAACAGACTCCTGAGGTACACCAAACGCTAATGATCTGACTGATGACACATCTTTGCCGTTCTGAACGTACTGTGTTGTTCCAGTAAGGTATGATTTGATGAATGATAGTGCATTGCCTCTTATACCATAGTATTCTAACTTATCTATTAACAGGTAATGAGATACCCAATCAAGAGCTTTACTCAAGTCAAGAAAAGTGGCCACTGTAGTATTCCCTTCCTCCATCTGATTCAGATATAAAGTCTACAAGTGTAATAAGTTCGTTTGTGGTGGACATGCCTACAGGGTGGCTGGAATTCGAGGCTCATCATTGGGATCTCGTAAACCGTAATAGATACAGGGTCGGTTAAATAATGGCTAAGTTGCGCAATTTTATGCTGATCAAAATGCCGCCTCGAAATTTTGGAAATTTCGAATACTCCCGAAAATATTTGAGAAAAACCGGATATCCGCGAATTCGTTTTTATTTTTTTGTGACTTCTACTTTTTCTACTCTATCCTATGGCATTGATAAAATCATGTTCCAACGTTTCGTCTTCGAGGAGCCATCATCAATTTTGTTTTTTGAAACGGTCGAGAATAAATGTTTTGTTCCTAAAAAGCTCTAATTTCAATTCTGAATCCAACGACATATAACACTTTGCAATCATCTTATCGTTATTTGATGATGGTTACGAGGAAACGAAACGTCGGATCGAAAATCTGATGATGTCAACTTGTAGAAAAAGAAAAATGGCTATTAAAATGTCGAATTCATGTTGGTCGATCTCTTATAGTAAAATCAGAAAAAGATCATTTCTTAGAATTAGAAACTTGGAGAATAACTTCTTATTGAGAACTAAAATAGACATAGACCGAGAGATAGACCAAAATGAATTTGACATTTTCGCAGTCATTTTTCCTTCTCTACAAGACGCCGTCATCAGATTTTTGTTAGGATTTTTCATTTCCTCGTAACCATGTTCCGACGTTTCGTTTCTTTGAAACCATCAACAAATAACAATGATGATGATGATTTTTTGTTTTTTGTTCCGAAACGTAAGATAATTGCAAAGTGATATTTATTTTGACATCACTCCAAATGAAGTCAGAAAAAAATAAAAACGAAATCGCGGGTAGTCGGTTTTTTTTTAATATCTTCGGAAGTATTTAGAATTTCCAAACATTTGAGGCGACATTTTGATCAGCATCAAATTGCGCAACTTTGCCATCATTCAACCGACCCTGTACCTCTTACGGTTTACGAGATCCCAATGATGAGCCTCGAATTCCAGCCACCCTGTACAGGATTCAACAGCTTATAGGCTCAGGATCTGTCATCTTACACTCATGAATCCGAGGAACATATGCGTATCGACGGAAAAAGGTTGGGAGGGGACATACATAAAGTAGTGAGAAACGAATGAAATATGTCGTATTCAGTTCTCATAGATTCCAAATACTCAGATTTGAGAACTTCATATAAAAAAACAGTGAATTTGCATGTCCTGGATTTGCCTGGAAGTATCAGAAAGATGTCTGACGTAAAATGTTCTGAACATAATAATTATCCTTTCTGAGTGGCTAAGGTCCAATGGTCTCCTAATAGCCTCAAACCATTCATTTCTCTCATTCTACTAGGGATTCTAGAATCATTATTGAATATTGAATGAGTAAACTTTTGATCCAAAATCATCTAAAATAGATGAGCAGGTTTGGCACCTCACGCATGAACTCAAATTATTCACTGCTGAATGAATATACAAAACATGCATATATGATTCCATTTGATTTGCTGAACTGATGAAAGCTAATTAAAATAATAAATTGTTCATTACCCACAAACTCACCGATGAAAAGAATAGCTATTTGTGTATTTAGAGCGCAAAGCGCAAGATTTTTTCTACTAACGCAGCTTTTGGAAATAACTACCCTGAAAGTATGAGTGATTGAAATATTTAGTTGTGAAAGTTCTTATCCATATTATCCCATGTGTCCAAAGGAAACAAAAAAAAGAAAAATTGTAATAACTGACAAGCCAGAAAAAAAATGTCGGGCCAACCGAGAATTGAAACTGGACCACCAGCGTTTCAACCTGAGCTTCAGACCTCTGAGCCATAGTGCGATAAACTCTGCAATCAAATTGAACATTACTCATTGATGCAATAAAATAAAGATACACTGTCTTTCTGATGACAACAAAGAATTTAAATATAAAGTATAATTCATAGTTTTCAACAGATATGCTTCATCGGGAGCTTCTTGTAGAAATTTGTTGGTATATATCTTCAGCGGTGAATGTTTTGGATTTTTCTCGCTTTATATCCAATAGATTGTTACTTGAGAAATAATAAGTTTTAGATACTTATTCATTCCGATATTATCTTTAACATTCAAGCATGTATACGTACCATCGAATATATAGACCAATGAGTTGATGACTTCAAAGTCTTTGATTTTTTACCAAAATAAGCCAGTAAAACGTTTTCTGAATACATATTCACCATCTCGGAGTGGCACCGATTTATGTATCATGTATCATATTGTAATTCATATTTCTTCCTTGATTTCTCTGGTAAGAGATTCAAACTCTTGCGCTTTCTGCTATATCATCAGGAAGGAGGTGTGTTTGATGATTCACTGTCACTATTTTCCATCATGACAGAATTGGGGGTTTTCAATATTTCCGCTCACGAGCGCAAATGCTGTCAAAGAATGACATTTCTGGGAAAACGTCAACTTTGTGCTGGAATTTGAATGCGTCAAAGGCTACTTTGTTAAGCGTTTGTAGAAAAACATCTTTAGTATTATTAATCGTGGAATTCTTACACCAGAACAAAGCACTTCATATTTCCTAGGATTGGCGAAAATAAAACGAAAAAATTAATATAACCACTCAATTCTGATATTAATTTTCCCGTTATTTTTATCAAGCCGACCCCTGATGACATAAACAAAACACTTGAGCCAACGCCACTCACCTTGTCGCCGCCTACGACCAAAATGGAAGCTATGTTGATTTCGATACCACATCAAAGTCATGAACGACAGCTAGGGGGTTCCTGCGTATTGAGCAGAAGCGTTTTCAGGAGAGCTACTGACCCTACATTTTCTGGTTGCTCTGATATGACTACTAGCAGTCTAGATAGAGTAGTAAGTTGGTGCGTCACCCATTGATCATAGGGAAACTTCAAACGCGAATGTCTTCGTAACCGTTTGAAATAACCCAATTATACCCGGTATCGTTGAATTCTTTATATCAATGCCTAACCGATTATGGAATAAAATACAGGGTGTTCAGTTATTTTTTGTTTCAATCCCAGTCTCTATCTCTCATATAGTGCGTACTACTTGATATATCACATCTTCGGTGGAACGCTTAAGTGAGACCTGCCAATTCTACTGATTTTCACCAAAATTAACCATTACAAAGCTAGCTGAATCACTGAGCATCTATCTATCTACTTTCGAGAAAACTAATAGTAGTATAATTTATTACTACTATACTAAACTACTTCAAACTCTCAAATTCATACTGAATGCCAATTTCAGAATTTGAATAAAATCTGGATATTATGAAATTATTCAAAGTGACAAAAAAATCCTCGGTCGATAGTCATCCGGTTTGGCCGAAAGATTTTTTCGATTTTTTCAATTACTGCATATTCGAATATTATGGAAATGAGATATTATGAATTTATTGCAACTTACTTTTTTATTGGTAGTTAGACCAGCTGTAGGCACTGGTTCTATTTCTGTTTGCGGTTCTGACACAAAATCGAAAGTGTAAGTATTGTCGCCACCCCAACATGTCAAGATGTGTTCTGAACCGACATATGTTTTGATATCTTTTTTAGAGATAAACTTGATTTTTTCAACAGCTTTTTCAGGTAACATTGACTTAACTATTTTAAAGGCAGCTGAAAAATAAAAATAATATTTTGGGAGAGCGCAAACAATAATAAAAAATATATAATACCATTCAATATCCAAGGCATCTCAAAAATAAGAATATAATTCAAAAAATATGGATAATATTCTTTGAATAAATTTATAAGGTACTTGATCAGTTCTAAATCCATATTTGATAGTCCGCAACCCTCCATATCAAAAAATATTGTTATTTGGTTTCCTTTGACTAATCTGAAAAAATAATGAATAGTTCATGATGGTACATCAGATATTTACGAAATACGTATTACGTAATATACATATGTGCAGTGCTGCCCAAAAAATTCTCAACGACTCTTGGTCGAAATTAAATATTTTTGTTTAAGCAGAAATATAAATATGCATAGATACATCTTGTACCACAATAAGAAATAAGCGATTGAAACAGTGGGCTGTTGGAATAGATATAAGTCCGGGAATACGACCGACTTTTTGAAGGGATTTTCACAGAAGTCGTTAAGAATTTTTAGGGCAGCACTGTACAGTGTGTCCAGTTTTCGATGCTTTTGCGCGATATCTCAGTTATCTTTGGAGATAGTGTTGCGGTTTTCACGATCCTGTCTTACTTTTTTGTGAAACGAATAATGCCGCAAACAGAATTTTCTGTTTCCTTCATATTTTTGACATACAGGGCGGAGTTGAAAATTCTCATTTTTTGAGCATCTCCCGTTACTTTTCAACTTATTTTCAGGGTGAGAACGGGACCTTATACAACTTTGTATGTATAATACAGTGGCGTACTCATTTTATTTCTGTAATCGCTCATTATTAAAAAATTAAGCCTGTATATATTTCTATCCAGTTCGAATCAGTTTTCGTATAGCTTATCAAAAGTACATAATAGTTGAATTTTGTTTAAATGTTTGGCTCCATTTTCTAAAAATGAGCGATTACAGAAATGAAATGAGTACGCTACTGAATTATACGTAGAAAGTTATATTAGGCCTCGATCTCATCCAGCTGATATGTTGGAAAGTAACCAAGATCAGGAGGTGCTCAAAAAGTGGGAATTTTCAACTTCGTCCTGTTTCTCAAAAACATGAAGGACTGTGAAAATTATGCTTGCAGCATTAATCGTAAAAATGTAGGAAAGGGATGTGAAAACCGCAACACTCAATCTTTAAAGATAACTGAGATATCGCGCAAAAGCATCGAAAACTGGACACATTCTTTAATCTGTCTCTAATCCAATATTAGCCAGATTCGAGATTATTTACAAATTCGTATTTTAGTTAGATAATATATTGAAGAGGAATATTCTTAGATATTTATGAATATAAAAAAAATTGATAAATACAATGAAGAAATACATTGAGAATTCGCATTCTCTTTGTGATGAATATATCAACTTACTGTCTAATTGTCTCGCATAATCTCTTATTTTGTCTTCAACATTGCCAATAAAATAATCTCTTTAAGCTAGTTTTCATGTTCATCTCAAATTGAATGATCGATTCATGATAAAAAGTAATATCTAGGGAATATATATGCGTGATGGTCCAGTTACTAGTCTTTATCTTTGTATTTGTATTTATTTATAGTGTTACTACAGTGTAAAATGTTTACACTCGTCAATATATATAAAAAAATCGTTTAATAATAAATAGATGAATGAAAAAAAAATAAAGGAAATAGAATAAATAACAATAAACATGATCACATTGGTCAAACAAACATAATACACTTAGTTCTATAAATATCACATTTCAGTATTGTTAACTAGAAGTTTTATGAATCTATATCATGTCATGTGTCAAAAAGGCTGTGAATTCCTGAATAGAGTAGAAACATTTTCTGATCAGATATTTTTTTAATTTAAATTTGAAGGGCATTAAATTTAATTTCTTCATATTATCAGGTAATTTGTTGAAGAAACTCGGACCATAGAAATTGAAACCTTGTTGAGATTTCTGAAGTCTATTTGTAGCAATGACAATATAATATCTCGTATTGTGAGAATGGATATCAGAATTTTGTTTGTATTCAGTCAAGTGTTCTTTCACATAAACCAGGCATTGATAAATGTACATAATAGGCAAACTAAGAAAATTATATTCAATAAATAGGTCTTTACAATGTGCCCTGGGACTTGAGCCTACATCCTAAGGGCGACTATTTTTTGTCTATATCTGAGGACCAACAATGGGCATTTTCAGATATCAGGACAGGTAATTTGCTCACTTAAGTTTCAGATAATTCTAACGTACCACTTACATCTACAACTACACATCTCAATGGCTCATTTTAAGTAGTTATGGCTGATTCATAGGTGAAAATCTGGGATTTGAAGGATCAGAGTATTGTTGAAATTTGCACAGTTAATTCATGAGCAACTACAAAAATACCTTTCTCAGAAAATGGTTATTATTCAACCACAGAGGCAGATGGAATTCGAGGAAATTGGACAATTTTCAAAACTTTGCAACTAGATGAAGGATGAAGGGTATCATATCAAAAACATGAGCTTTGGGCAACGTGTGGTACATATTTAGCAGTGGTACAGTGGTAAAGGGCTCATCAGGTGCAGGTGGACACTACCTCCAATGAAACTGAAATTACTACAAACTTCGAAGATACGGCTGATATGTATATTGAAAATCATTTACTTCATTTATTTCCCGATCAATTCTATTAGAATTCTTTGCCAGTGGATTTTTCACTCTAGAACTTTACATATATATTTTTATATTATATATATATATATATATATATATATCACAAAACAATCGCACTTGGAACAAGAATAGGGTGTTTCGATTCAGGACCTGCCAAGTGAGTGAACATTTATGATACGTCGCTGGCGCGCTATCATCGGATCTATTCCTGTCTAGAAGTGCTATCGTTACATGAATGATACAGTAGCGGTTAGAGAGGGGTAAACATCGCATATGAGAATAGCATTGAGAGAGGGTAGAGCCGGTGGACCAATGATACTTTTCAGATAACTGCTGCACGTCTAATTGACGTTGTATCCATCTCTGCCTACCACTGTACCATCTTAGTATCGGCTGGATACTACTTGTAATAATTTATTGATACACTCCCGTACAATTTCCGAACCAATCAACGATATATTGCAGTAACTAACATGAAAATCGATGTTTGATGGCGAAATGGATGTTCAATTTGATATATTCGAATGAAATGAAAAATTTTTTTTGAGTTCAGTAACAACACAGTTTTTACCCGTCCACCAGCCACTCTGCCACCTATTGAAACATTAAATGATGAGTTCAAGTATCTTCATTAGTTGGAAATTAAATTTTTATTGACTTTCGTTCTCATAACCAAAAAAAATTATGGAATAAATATCAGTTATATCAATGATTGGAGTTCTTTGAGCAATATCATTACCTTTCTATTCTTTCGAACCAATATAAAATACATTTCTTAATTTCAGCCATCTCAACAGCTCCTTTTACATGCTTTTTACACTTAAATACCAACAACACACAGCCATCTATATCAGCACCAAATGGGTAGAATGCACCAGAACAGAGAAGCTCCATTTTGCATTTACTTTCACTTAACTCTGTAATCATTTCAATCAATATACGATAATCATTTAAAATTGAGACAAACGATATTACCATTCACATTATTTTCTAATCTCCATGTCACTGAGGTCCACAACATTTTGAGAGCCAGTGTTTGATCTCCATCATTGTGAAGAAGGAATCTTTGCAACCAATCATCACTAGTCTTTACTCTTTCTAAGTCATTTGGGTGAACACCTTCAATAAAATTAATACCTATATTTAGTTATAACGAACAACAGACTCACATATATTTGCTATGAATGATTCAGCGCCCGATATAAATTATCGATAAATAATGAAAAAATAAATATTAGTTATGGTTATTCCTTATTCATTCACCATTCATATAATTTTTACCCAGGGACCAAGATTATATCCAAAGACTTCAGCCGGGGTAATAATAATATGCTTTACTACCAAGGTGTATATTATATTTTTTTCACCACTAGCAATGTTGTACGATCATTATTATAGTAGTATATAGTAGTAGAAGAAAGTAGCTATTCTGAAGATGCATAATTTTAATTCTTATAAAAATCGAATCATTTGGATTTAGTTTTATACATTTTACTTGGTTCTTTGGGATTTTCTCTCCTCCTTTGGACGTTTCGGGACCGATTCTGCTCCCGTTCTCAACATGTAAATGCAAATTATTTTTCTTTGAAAGTTGTGCTGCGTATAGTTTGACACTTTTCAGTGTCATATGTAAATGCAAATTATTTTTCTTTGAAAAGTGTCAAACTATATGCAGCACAACTTTCAAAGAAAAATAATTTGCATTTACATGTTGAGAACGGGAGCAGAATCGGTCCCGAAACGTCCAAAGGAGGAGAGAAAATCCCAAAGAACCAAGTAAAATGAATGTACCACCTCCTCGATTAACCTACAGACAGTATTTAGTTTTATACAATTGCCAAAACTATGAATATTCCATTTTCAATATTTTTTTTAAATCTACAACAATGAGAATCGGGGTTTGGGAATGTTCAATGTTCCGAACAATTCTGAACGAACTTTCGTATTCGAAAGAGAACTTCGACAGTCTATGATTTCATCCACTCCGTCAGCTGTTTGTGTGAGCATTAATATAGGCAATTCGATAAGCCAGACCCCCTCTTGCGGTTCTTGCGGATACTCAAGTAAATTATAGAAATAAATACAAAAAGCTCAGTAATTTCCACAAATGTTCATGAAATGAACAACAATGGTAGATAACGGGAGAAAAACGACTACTTTCCTGGCTAATGATACGCAGAACATTGAATTCCTCCCGAAATCTATGCAACGATCCGTATAAACGAATACTAATGCAAGTGTTTCTCTCCCCAATGCCGATTGATTTCGATTTAGCCAGGTCAACGCTACGACACCTTCATACCGGTTTCAAGCTTTTTTGGCTCTCATCAGTGCATGGTAGTCTCCAGCCAGCAGTCCGAAAACCGCCGGCTAAGCGTTACCTGGCCCAACAAATTCCAATCGGTAATATTTATGGCCTCAAAGTCAATCGGCATCAGGGAAAGAAACACTTGCATTAGTATTCGTTTATACGTATTGATGCATAGATTTCGGGAGGATGTAATTCAATGTTCCGTGTGATATTAGCCAGGAAAGTATTGTTTTTCTCCCGTTATCCAACATTGTTGTTCATTTTATGAACATTCGTGGAAATTACTGAGTTTTTTGTATTTATTCAACCTTTCATTCCACTTCGAGCATTGTAGCTATTTCCGATATCGTAGTTGAAATTATAGAAAGGTGTTATTGAAAGTGATTTTTCCGAGTTTGAATTTTTCAATGGAGTATCTTGAATTATTATGTTCAGTTCCTTACGTTATTCATGAGTCAAAAAATGATTATTCAATCGGCATAATTGAAATTAATTTTCCTACTCTGGGTTTGAATACAGTGTTATTTTATTCAAAAAGTTAATGTTTCCAAACGAAAAAAAAATCAAAAACAAAGCATATAAGTTCCTTTTTCCTGGGTAGATGAACTGCGGTATCACCCCACTTGAAGTAACAAACAGGTTTTCAATATTTGTCAGTATTCATAAATTTGATGTATTTGAAGAAGTGAATCATACTTTACTGATCGAGTACCCGCTGAAAAGCTTCCTGGAATCACATCACAGGAGTACACAAACAGTTGAAAATGAAGTTTTCTTTGCTTAAATCACTACCAAAAAATTCAAATAATACACAGAAGCAAATCAACCATCTGAAAACAATCGTTCACGTTGGCGCTGCAAGCTGAAATTTAGTCGCCTATATTGTATATTTTTCTTTCCCCTTCCATAATAGTGAGATTATCGCATTTGGATATCAAGATATTGCATTATAATGTGAATTAAGTAGCTCTGTAGTTATGATAAAAAACACCTTGGTAAGGAAAACCAGTTCACGTACATTTGTGGTATTTTCTTTCTCAATGAATTCAGAGGACCAAATGTTTCAATTTCTTTCTTCAGGAACAAAGCAAGATATATAAAATCAGGAACCAAAAATGTATATGTAGTTGATTTTTTTTTTCAAAAAACACCTGACGAGAGATTTTTATTATTTGTACACAAGATCTTTCCAATCTGCACAGGCAACAAGGTATGTGATTCCAACTATATGGTACTCCTCTCGGTGCCCCTTCACATCATCATAGATAAATAAGGGCATATCTTGAACGCAATTCGCCACAGAAACGGATAAGGCGAGGGGGGGGGGCAATTTGACTAGTATGGACTATTTTTTTATGGGCTTATGTCAAATCAAGAGTTTATCGCACGGCTGCTACCAACATAGATGACATAAAAGGAAGATTAAGTTGAGCTTTCCATATTGTAAGATAAAGTAAGAAACACTCAGTTGGAAATTTAAAACGATTTATTTGAACACAAACACTACAATACACAATACAGAATCACAATAACTATAACTACGTATCTTTCTAATATGACTCCCGCAATTTATTTATGATTAAAGATAGTTCCAGCATTTTCATGGCATTGCGAGATCCATCAATCTTCTTTCATCCTCCATGTAAATGTCGGCGTCAATTAGTGAAATCCGTCATTCCCTGAAATGCCTAGGCATTTCACGTATTGTCGGCAAACAGCGTAACTTCCATTTTCAGCCGTAGAAAGTATATTTTTCAGAAAATTAATTGAGAGGACAGAAGAGACTACTGCTTCTAAACAACCTAAGCTGACTCGGCCTAAATGAACATACCTTCCGTCATTACAGGGAATGCCTGAAACTATTAGGGAAACGGTGTACGAAATTTAGAGTTACGCTGTTTGCCGGCAATACGTGAAATGACTATGTATTCCAGAGTAGTACGGATTTCACTGTTTGACGCCGACATAAACTTCCCCAAGCGTTCCAAGCGATGCGATCCCGACGGGTCCTTCCGAGAAGAGAGCGGCGCGAGTCTATTTCGCGAAAGATAGTCTCGTAACAATATTATCATTCCACAGATGATGTAGGCAAGAGTTAGAGAAAATATCAACACTCGTAATAATTCTTGAATCGAACACGACGAAACGGTATGAGAAATAGTTATTTATTCTACAAGGGAAAAAAGTAGTCGATTTTAGCTCGAGGTTGTGAGCTAAAATCTAATATTTTTCCCGTGTATAATACACCATTTTTTTGTAACAAATGTAACAGGAAAAAGAACGAATCAATATTGAAAAGATATTACATTATATTGGAATTTGAAAATTATCGACGTGAAATAATCAAATATCTGTCAGTCTGCTTATGTGATTTGATTTAAAAAAATTGTGAATTGGAAGATAGGTCTTGCAGTTCTTCCTTGGAGACTGTGTTGTTGGCTTATTTTTCGGAATTTGCACAACAAAAGCCATCAACAGTGTATGCGATTTCAACCCGTACACCCTCCTAATTTGAAACCCGTCGACCGATTTTCAAAAACAAAGGTCTATTCGAAAATGTGGACAAATGTGAACTATTCACATTTTGAAGGCCTACTTTTGTTTGTTGGAGGGGTTAAACTTTCAAAACGACTATTAGGCAATTTTTTGTCCAAACAGTGACTAGTCTATTTGATTCAGGCATAGCTGAAAAAAAACCATTCGACATTTGAACGCAAAATCTCATATAGGGTGTTAGATATTTAATGGCAAACTTTGATATTCTTGATTTTTCGATTCACCCAGTATCTAAATCTAAGGAGTTGATATAACTGGCGAAGTAGTCATTCAATGGAGGAACATATCGAAAACTTGGATACGAAGTTTCATCGATGTAACTTCTACGGGAAGATCTCTCTAGGTCACCCTAAAATCAATAATACAAAAGTTGAGGTTCACCATTTTGAAAACTCAAGTAAACCGTTTTTCACATACTTCACCACACAAAAGAATATATTGATCATAGTAGTAAATTTGTCGACTTCAATTTCAATCTTCCTGTAGAAAGTACGACTATACAACTTCGTATCTAAGTATTCCATGTAAATGACTACTTCACCGGTTATATCAATTCCTCAGATTTTGATACAGGGTGAAGCAAAAAATCAAAAATATAAAAATATCCACTGAATAACTAGCACCCTATATGAGATTTTGCGTTCAAATTTCGTATGGGGGTACTTCAGCTATGCCTTAATCGAATGAGCTTGTGACAGTTTCGAAAAAAATTGCCTAATGTTCATTTTTGGAATGTTGGTCTCTTCAACAAACAAAAGTTGGCCTTGAAAATCTAAATATTTCAAATGTGTTCACATTCTCGAATAGAAGAATAGAGCTCGTTGAGTACTGTATTATAGAATTTTTATTTTTGTACTTCGGTCGACGTGTTCCAAATTAGAAGGGTGTTGCGGGTTGAAATCGCACACACTGTATATATCCGGGAAAAATTACTCACTGTTTTACCGTGGAAAAAAAGTTATTAATAAAAAGTGAGATTTTATAACCTGTCAACAGGGACGGAATGTCAAACTTTTTTCCCGTCACAGAAATAGTATATTGTGCAACAAGTGGGAAAAGTGCTTTTCCCCACACGTTGCACACTATACTTTTTCTACAACTGCACTTATTCAAAGAATCCGAGTAATGTAGCTTATTGGCATCTATTGAATTCATTTGTATTTTTTTAGATTCCATAAATTTTCCGTTTATGCCAATTCATACTTTTTTCTTGAAATTTCCGGAAACAAATCCAACTTCTTCCATTATCTCT